TCTGACCCAGTTGTCTAGCCATCACAATTTGGCTCTTGTCAAAGTCGCTCCTCACACTGCCAATTTTTCCTGCCTCTAAAACATCAACTTGAGGACAAAATGTTCACTTGCTGCCTAATTATATCTCACCCACTGACAGGTGCCATGATCAATGTATCTCTGGTATAAATGAAGACACACTATGAGGCTAATTCTTACTCAGTGTCTCAACCATGTGGCTCTGGCCAAAAGATGCATATAGAAAAAACTCCTTGTTCACACAAGACAGGATCAATAAATCTCTTCAACCCTTAATTTGAGAGGAGAGGATTTAAGGTTTGACTTTTGACAATGAGGTTCTTTCTTGTGCCTGTTTTTACTAGTATCTTTGCAATTTTTTTACCTGGGAGGCTGAGAGGTGTGATTTAGGGATAGTTGGAACACATGGCTTGGTATTGAACACATCCACCACTTCTTGTTATATACTAATTCTAATGGTTTCATAACCTCAAGTCTTTTGTATTCAAATCATTTTCTTCCATAGTTCATGGTGGTAGTGAGCTTTGCCACATTTAACCCTCCAAACTACGGCACCTACATGTTTCCTCCATGGGCTAACATGGTGGGGTGGTGTCTGGCCATTTCCTCAATGTCCATGGTGCCTCTCTACGCCATCTACAAACTCTGCACGCTGCCGGGAAAGTTTTGTGATGTAAGTCAGAGCTATGACTTAGTGAGGGCAAATGTGTTATTGCAATTTCCAGTTTTAAAGTTAATCTTTAATCTTCAGTAAGCTTTGTCTTGACTTTCATTAAAGTTATAGTATTCTTTTTGAAATGCTTATTCTCTTCGCTCTTTATCCTGAAACAGAGACTGGCTTATGCTATCACCCCAGAGACAGAGCATCATTTGGTAGACAATGGGGAGGTTCGGCAGTTCACAGTAAGTGCTGACTTAACTATGATTTATTCTTACATGTCTGCAAGACAAATATTCATACTGATAATATTATGTACTTTTAGCCTATTTAAATGAATTGAATCATGATGACAACTACAGTAGAATAATACTGTGTTTTATCTCATGGGCATTTTCCATTTTTTTTTCCACAGCTGCATCACTGGTTGGTGGTCTGAAAAATACAGAGAGAGAATGAAAGAGTGAGAGAAAGAGAATGAGAGTATGGACATTGGGTGGATGAATGGATGCACAGCAAAGGCCTGAAGAGCTAAGAAGAAAGAAAAAGTCATTTAAAAAGATCACAATGGTGGTGGTGGTGGGAGCAGTTTAAAAGTGCCGACAAAAATAGAAATTGTAGTGTTCTCTAATTTCAACAGTGGATGTGTGAAGCTGTGCATTGACCCTCTCCACCACTGTGTTGACACTGGTGAATAGGATTCAGTCAAACAGGTAATGTGGTGTTCAGGCTGCTTCCACCATAAATAAAAAAAAAAAAACTCTTCTTGAAGAAATACCGTGCAAGTTGTTAAGATGTTAGTTATTTTTACTTTGCACTTGCACGTGTTATAGTGTGAGAACTTTTCTTGGAATTACGTACATTACCCCTTCATAAGAATGAAAAGAGAACATATGAGAGGATTAGTGGTTTACTGTACATTGTGTCAAGTGCATAGTGGGACATAATTAATAATTAAAGTGGCATGGTATTTCTTTAAGGCAAGATGCACATTAAAACGATTAAATTGCAGTATTTTGTTTATGTACATGGGGTGAAGATGATGATTGAGTTACACACATCTAGAAGAGATAATTTCCAAGATGCAGGATCTGCTTTTGGAAATCAATTTTTCTTTTTTTAAATAATTTGTATTTGTTCTATATTTTCTCAGTCAATTTTTTTCAATTTGTTATTCTGGATCAAAACGCCTCGATTTTGTAGCAGTAGGCATGTAATGAATGCCACAGGTTTTACTGAATCCAAGTCCATGTCTTGTTTATAATATTTATTTATTTACTTGCTCTTCTTAAGGACTGTTAATACACACAATTTTTAGAAGAATTACACCTACTTTTGTTTACATGAAAACAATTTGCAGGAAGGAACAGTTTGTACATCAATAAACCAAAATCATATCATTTGAATAAACTAAAACTATGTCTGACTAAGCACGACCCCACTACGGGGGGGGGGGTCTTCCTAAAAAAGTGACTCATCCTTTATAAATCAAGAGAATTGATTGTCTGAAAATAGAATTGTCACTTCCTCTTACCTTGCTCTTGTTAGATGGACCAACCAAAAAACAGTTGGTTTATAGTAACACTGTCATTCCATCACGTGGTTGAATATATTCTAAAACAATACTAAAACTAAACCTGTATACAATCAAACTTAATTAGTTTTAAACAGGTGCCTAAAAGCCCTAATACGTGAACACTCCTAAACTTGTCAACTTCCTAATTATTGTCACACACTGACAAAAAACCACATCATCAGCCACACCGCTGATCTAATCAACCAAAGACTAAAATAAACTCACAAATTCCGATATCGCTCACGTGAGAATATTTTGCCAAGGGATTTTCTTTCTTTTAATCAATAGACCACTTGATTGTTAACTTCATTGTCCCAGGTCAATCTGTCTTCTCGTTTACAATAAATCAGTGCCAATGCACTTTTTATTTGTTAAATTATAGATTAGTTGTGTGTTTGCCCCCCCACCCCCAAAAGATTCAGGTGGTGATTTGAAAGCTATGACTGTCACATTTCCAGAAAGCATAAAGCTTTAATTTTACAGTTTACAGAATCTTATTCAGTGTTTCAAGACTGTTTAAAAAGCTGCTTTTTATTGAACTGCAAACAAATAGAGTGTAATGAAATATATGAAGTAATTTAAGTTATATATCTGTGTAAGTAAATGTACTGTAGAGGGGCTTGTATTGTATTGTACTGTATGATATTGAATAACAAGACCAACAAGATTATATATGTATATATATATATGGATTATTGCTTTGTTACTGTGAAGTTGATACATATTAGCCTTAAGGATCTTTATGAGAATTACATGTAAAATTCATATAAACTTTCTTCCCATGAACTCTTTATGTTTATTCAGAAACCATACATCATTTTTCAAACTGGTCAGCAATGACTTGCTTTCACCTTGTGGTACATGTAACACACTGAAGGGTTGATTATATCCCAAATTGTATGCCTGTGCTGCTGTACTGTGCCTTGTGGTGTTTCTGACTGTATGACTTTGTTTTGTACTGTCAAATAAAGTATAATTAATTGAATTATTACATTTGAAATGTCTCTCTCTTTGTTTTGCCTTTTTCTTTCTTTCCCTCTTTCTTTCTTTTATTTTGTGATTCAATTAAAATTCTCTGTGTTGCATTTTTATCCCCTTCTCTCTACCACTGCAGTGGTTATAGAAGGTCAGATAGAGACACATACAGCACTGTATAAAACTGCATCCTCGTTATTTTGCCTGCGTCACTAAACCAACGAGGAAAAATTACCACTTGTCCTTTGTCCTGGAGAGTAGATTTCTTCACTATTCTAACATTTTAGTGACTGTAAGAAGCTTGATTCCAGAAGGGAAACATATCAGAGATGTATTTGTTAAAAATGAATGTAATTATTTATCAGATAATTGAAACTGCTGAATAATTGTACACTATTCCTTATTATAGCACCTGGTCTGCATATGCATATAAATGTAATGACATATTACTTCATTTCATCACTATACTTACACTATTATCAATCATCAAAGTTGAAAAGGCTTACTACAACGCATTCTCAAAGTCTAAAACAGTCTTAAAATGTTTTCATCATTAGTAGCAAAAATGTCACAGTTCCTCTTTAACGCTTGCGTTGCCAAGAATAAATAAGGATTAATAGTTGATTATAATGGTGCGTTCAATATTCCCAAATGAGACATTGGTCATCTAATCTCCAAACAGATCAATATGCATAATGTCCAGAGAGAGAAAGCACAAAAAGGGAAACATACTCCAGCATACTGAAGGGTCCCTCTAATTGTTGTGAGCGTTTTCAAGATAGGTCAACATGACCCTGAATCAGCAGTGTTCATTATAGTAACCAGAGAGTCAAACCATACTGTCATGGGGACAATCCACACAGCCAGAGGACCCAATATACACAGCAGACAACATTTGGGGATGATTACTGTCTAAAAAGCTTTCAGATATATTGACATCTCTTATCAGCGGGTGGCCTGACCATCATTCTTGATATTTATTTAGGGCAGGACAGACCAACCTCCTGTTGTGCATGTGGGTGTAGTGTCCAGTAATCATATTCTTGTTCAGTAGTTACTTTTTATGGGTTATTTATTGGAGCCTTAACAGAGGAAAAGACAGAAATAAATTCTTTGTATATAAAATGTGTCATCTTTGCCATTTCCCCGTATTTCATCCCTGACTAAGCGCAAAATCCCTCCACCATTTGTCCCTGTGTGACTAAATTGGCTTGATATGCTTACAGTATCCTAAAACAAACTGCAGCTGGGAACAGAATTACTATCTATATATCTATCTATAAGAGATCAGATTAGCTAAAACATTAGCATTAAGAGCATGAAGAGATTTGAGTGAAGATATACAACTTACTTGAACTCAATCGACGATGCGTCACTCAATATCATATCATAAACAATGTGGCATTATTCTTATATTTTATATGACATGGAAGATGGTCCTTATTTAATCTAAATGTGTGTTTATTGATGTCACATTTCCTCCATTTGTTGACATAGGGCTTTGACAGATGTTAGCTATGTGGTTTTCCAAATGTTGTCAAGATAGGACAATTTCAAAGCAATTTTGGCCATGCGAGGATAGGGTTTAAAAGGTGCCATTATCACATCCAATAAACAACAGCAATTATGTATAATTTCATGTCTTGCTACTGACGTTGAAACTGAAAGGATATACACAAGGAGAGGTAGAAGGAAATGTTATTTTCTTATTTAGAGTTGCACTGCACTATATGATATTGGCTTTGTCAAAGAGGATGCACACAATCAAGAACCAACCAGTGGCTTTATCTGAATATCTCTCCAATACTGATGACCAAATTGACAGACAGGATTGGCATGATGGAGCGAGCCTGTTTGGCTTTGCCACTGCCCGTCTATATTGTCTTTCCCTACCTGTCCTGCATGTTGTTCTGTTTGTTCTTCTTTTGGTTAACAACAGACTTGCTTAGATGTACGATCACCAGACTCTTCTATACACCAGATGTGTACATCAGAGTGGTGGATCATTGCTCTGAATCCACCACCGAAGTTCCTGCAGGCACCACAGGAGGTTGAGGGAAAAGGGTTGGAGTTCAGGTGAAACTGAAATGGCTCTGGAAGCGAGGAGTCAACGGAAAAAAGAAGCGAGGAGTGTCTGATGAACCATGCATTGTTGTATCCTGCAGCTCCATTGAATGATTTCCCCTTGCCCATGGTCGGGAATGTCAGAGTCTCAAATGATCTCTTGATGCACAGTGATGCAAGACAATGTTATGTGTCGGTAGTACTGGATCTCATTGGGGCTTTTGGTGTGGACCTGAATCTTGATTCGGGCCCTGGGTTTGGAATCTCTGAATCAGCCTTGGAGTGGTTCTCCTCTTACCTTTCAGACAGAGGTTTTTCAGAAACTGCCTCATCAACTTCCCAAGGTTCTGTCCTGGGTTTGATTCTGTTGGCATTGTAGCGACATGATACTTCACCAGCATAAGTCATTTTAAAGATTTATCCAGACAATATTCAATTATACATCTTGATTTAGCCTCAAGATAACGCAAAACTGTCAAAAGTTATACAAAATTGCCTCAACTCAAATGTAATGACAGATTATTTTCTGCAGCTGAATGCTGACAAACAAGTTCTTATTAGGTGCTGTCCTGGGTGATAGAATTAGTTGCTCCTGCTTCTACCAGTGGGAGGATCACTGCTAAACCTTTACGTCCCTAACTGAGATAGAGATGCTTATTCAGAGGTTTGTTTCATCCTGTATGAAATATTGCTATTTCTTTTTCACCTGCCTTAGCAACACTTCACTTATAAGTGGTCCAAAGTGCTGTTACCAGGCTTTTGATCAAGTCCTCCAAAAGGTCTCATCAAACACATTTGAGACCCACTTGCCTGTGTGTGTGTGTGTGTTGAGTCAGTGTTTGACTTGTTTCCCTGTTGTACACTACCACCTACTGACACAAAACCTGCATTACACGTCACTACAGGTACAATATTTTGGCAAATTATCACCTCCACATATCACACAGTCAACAAGTTCATGCAACACCCCAGGTGCCTGAGTCCAAGAAGAAAAAACATCTTTGGCTTATATTTGCTAAATAACCCATGAATGGAGAATGTTTGTCAAGCTACTGGGTAATTATCAGTCAATTTATGAACTGCAAACCAATTTTTTTTATATCTCATAAACAATGGGATGTTGAAAAGCCCTATGCAAAACAAAACAGATTCACACTTTAAAACATATCAAAAACTGCATTCAGTAATAAATTAATTCTTGAAAAGGATGTAGAAGCTATGCATCCCCATGTTTTATATCCCTCTCCACTAAAAGTTTGGTAGTAAACTGCAAGTTAACGTACTGAGTCCTGTTTAACCTGTTAGGAAGTAAAAAAAAATGCTGTTGGGTCTCTACTAACCCTACAGGGCAGAGCCTCTGCACAATGTACTCTTGCATCAATGTTCCAATTAAGTCTAGAACAACCAGTCCTCCTTTGCTGGAAACATGCCATTTGTAGAAATACAATTTTATTAGGAAAGAGCATGATATTAACTTAAATAATAAAGCTCTTAAAACTAGATTTTGACTCAGGGACTCAACATGTTTGCAAAATCACCTATTAATTTTAGAGTTGTCCCCAGGGAAGTGCCATACAGAAATTGTTTGAGAGACAAGCGCATGACCCCGCTCAGGGGCCAACCATCACAAATAAATTCTCCACTTATTGCAAACACCGTCATAGATAATGTAAAGTAATAAAAATGCATGTATGCTTGCTTTGAGGACATGTAGGGCAGTAACCTTAATCCTGTTGTTCTCTACTATCTTGATTAACAGAGATCAGTTGTTATAATGCATTTTTAGAAACAGAACGCCCAATTCTGGGAATAAGTGACCATGGCTTTGCTGCTGAACATTTCCCCCAAGAAGATGCTGCTGCGGCACCACCTAACCACACATTTCAACCAGCTCATTTGCCTTCAGTGTTGCAACATCCTTGAGTCAGACATTGTAGATACATTTCCTTTTACTGCTCAGCTATTCTTGTCTGTATAGTAGGCTTGGTTTGTTTTGTGTTCTGATTTGGAGTTATTCATTTGTATTATTCTTTCTTTAAATGAGTATTTCGTTATTCCTTTTGCTTATGTTTTGAGGACCAAGCCACTGTTCTAAGCTAAGTGCCAATTTACTGTTGTATATTTTGTAGTATTTGGCCACTATCAATACAGCTTACAATCAAACTTTTTAGTATGTTCTTCAGAAATGATTTATCTGCGGATACTCTCATGCTGAACCTTTAATTCTTACATAGTTTGAACTAACACCATCAGGTGGGCTCAAGAGAGAATGGCATCTCAGTAAGTATGTTGAACAGTGGGCTCAGGGGTGCAGCTGTGCACTTTGGGGGTTTCTACTGCTGCTGGCAGAGCTGCTGTAGGTTACAACAAGCCAGAGCGTGATAATTAGTGTATTTAGGCCTACATTGTATCATATTACTATACTTGGATATTATATTTAAATTTATTTGGGAATTGTGTCCCTAACTGACCGTATGTTGCCCCCCCCTGCCTAACACGCCCCAATGGAGCAGTAATTGTGCCGCTGATTGCTGCTGATAATGAAAGAGGTCATGACCGCAATAGGTGAAGGAGGAGGGAAAGAGGTAAGAAGAGGTTTTGGTCATGATTGCTCTGATGTTGCTCTTCCTCTGGCACCTACAGCAGCTGACCAAACTGAGGCAGCTAATGTCACAGCTGTTATACGGCATGTATAAATAAATAAACATCATAATATCTCATTGTGTCATATAGTGGGAACACATTTGCACGCATTTCCACTGAGGAAAACTGGTCGAAAAATAATAAATAAGTAAATAACTAATAAATATTAGTCCTGACATTACGAATTCATCTGACTTTTAATTGCTGCAGCACGAAGTGTGCCACTTGACAATAATTTGCAAAAGGACACAGAGAACAGATCTCTCTCTGTTGTTGTGCAACACAAATATGGTACACAAAACAAACATGTTTTTTTGTCCTTTCGGGATGTCACCGGCAACCCGGGTTTCCAATTGGTCTCCTGATGCCCAATTAACTTTCTCACATGGCTGTTGGAGAGTTTCACCGTCTTAGGTTCACACGTTGGTCTACTTTTTTTGTTTTGTTTTCCTGCTCACAGAGCGTATTCGATTATGTTACCTACACACTGACACGGTGCATATTGTTAATTAGGTCTGTTTTTTTTTTTCTCATCAGTTAATGATTGACTGCCTGTTGATTACAGTCGTGTGAGGTCCCTGGTAATCGGTGAGAGAACAGCGGCGTGTTCCCATAGATACATCCCAACAGATGAGCTCCCATGATGCCCAGCCTACATCGTGGGGAAACTACAGACACCCGTTTAGGCTTTTACCATCACCTGCTGTGTAACGGTGCACACGAAGCGGATGACTCTGCACCGTTTCCCTCTGTAGCTGAGTGAGATTCTGCTCAAACTTGTGGATAGTTTTCATTTTAACCCCGGGACACATCAACAGTTTCATGCATGTGGTTATATTTCTATTCAGTAAACTCCTCCGTTTGCCCTAAACGTCTTCGTACCCAAACTGCTGACCTTCTCGAAGACCTGCGTGCCGCGTACAACTCAACTCACAACTCAACCCTAAACATTTGGCCAGGATGGACCAGCTCTGATGTCATTATAATGGCCTATAACTTTTTTTCTCGCGATTGGGAGCAACTAGTTGCCAGTTTATTATAACAAAAGATATCTCTCCGTCGCGCGCCAGCCTGCTTTTACGCGCAACGATGAGCTCGGAGAAGCCGAACTTTCTCTCGCAGCCCGTTGTGAAGAACATTTTCATGTTCCGAAACGGTGATCCTTACTACGAGGCTCGCCGCATTGTGATAAACCAAAAGAGGGTGTCCAACTTTGAGACTCTGTTGAGAGAGGTGACCGGCGGGATACAAGCCCCGTTTGGAGCGGTGAGAAACATCTACACGCCGAGAGGAGGCCACAAGGTGGACTGCTTGGAGAGCCTGCAGAGCGGGGAGCAGTACGTCGCTGCTGGGAGGGAGCGATTCAAAAGGCTGGAGTAAGACTAAACTCACGTTAGGCATCATAATAAATAATTTCTAACGGTTACATTTGCGTAAATACAGTTGTATAACATACAATGGTTAACCCATCTACTAGTAGCCTATTGCCTGCAGGAAGGCATGCTTTTCATTTAATTATTGTTAATAGTAAGTGATTAAAATCTCAGCTGAGATACACTGCACACACTAACTGGGTTCCTCAGTCAGACATCCACTGTGTAGATACATACATTTAGTCACTGGGCATCAGACCTGTTCACTGAGTCATGTTCTTAAAGTTTATGTGACAGTTTTGCACCAGTGCTGAGTCACAGCATGAGGTAGAATTAGATCAGCACTCTAGAGAAGCATGCTTTGCCCTTGCCTAAAAATAAAGTGGACTTGTACTGCATATAATTAGATTTATGCTGCAAGTTATTCATAGGATGCTGTGGTGAAGGTTTTCTAGCGCCACGAAATTTGTAAACTGTTACCATGCTCCTTGACAATGGTATTTTTAAATTGTCTGGGGAAGTTGTATCTATCAAAATATCGAATATATAATGAACTGCATACCACATTGTTGCTTCAATACCCAGATGAATTGTGTGTGAAAATCAGTTCTAATGCAAGAGATGATAAATACATTCACCATTAACCATTTATGGACAGTCAATATTTTTGTACTTATTTCGCATAATAAGTTGCTACAGTACACACACTGCGTTCTGCTTTAAATTACTTGTGCTTAGACAAAAGGTAGATATTACTTTAGCTGTGTTGTTTTTAGTTTGTGCTTCTTACGTAATTACTCTTTTACCTCTTTGCTTCACTTTATGTTTTGTCTATAGTTACCAACAGATTGGCTCAAGAAGGAAGAGGAGGATGCAGACTCTTCCTATGCAGGTAAAAAAAAGTAAAGTAGTACAGTAGCTGTAGCTGTAGCTAATAGCAATGTGTTCATGTGTGTATTTGCTTCTAGACTTGACCCCAGCTTTGTACAGATGAATTCATCACTATTACTTGTAAAATGTTTCTAAGTGTAACAAGGAAACATATAATCACAAAGTTTCCATTTTACTGTGTCACTTCATGAAGGTACAGCTGCTAAATAGCTGTAGCCTGGGATTCCAAATCTGTATAATCCTTGGCATCATATAAACACAATCTGCAGAGATGGAACCTGTTTACATAATTTACATATCGATGTCAATCATCCAGACAGGTGTGGGGTGTGGTGCATCGTCACATGCCCTTGCCAGAGTAGATCCTCAGGTTCCACTCCACCTTCTTGTCTTTAACTTTTTTCAGTCACTCATCACTGTGGAACTCTCCATGCCAGAACTCTCCAGACCACACTGAACATGTTTGAGATGTTTTTATTCGTTTGTTTTTCTGAATTTCCCGCTTTGTAAGCCACATGGAAACCCTTCACCGGCTACGTTTTCGACATAGGGGCAGGGTTTCAGTTACATTATCCTTACTCAGTCCAACTTTTCAACATCTGAAACGGACACTAAATGCAAAATACATGAGGATTTGGGAACATCACCTCTGCACTCCTGTCCCCACCCACAGTGTTAAGGTTTTAGAAAGATCATTTAAGCAAGGTGTAATGTTGAGCATTCTTCTCTATTGTTCTCTGTGAAGAATCACTTTGTTGTCGTCTCACTGGCCATGCATTATTGATTTATGGATCATAATCATCCCTCCTTTCAATGCATCTTTAATCACCAGCTATGAAGTCACAGCCAAAACAAGAGCAGCTTAAAGTCAGGCAACCCACAAGCTCATCTATTTTGAAAGTCAGCTGTAGGTCCTCTTTCCAAAAATGAGCTAAGGCACAGATATGTGTACTAGCACTCAATACCAATAAAACAATACAGCAAAAAAACAGGTGCAAAGTTTTGACATGCTCATTCTATTCAGAGAAAACAATGGGTGACACAAGACCTTTGTCAGGGTATTCTGCATTACAAGCGTGAGCCCATTTTTTTCTTTGACTTCTGTACCTGGCCAGACCCTCATAAGTTTTGTTTGTGTGTGCCCTGCATGTCCACTGTAATATGTTAATAATATAAAGAGAATCAGGAGCTACTCTCTGTGTTCTTGATTTTGTCTTATCACCCTCTAGCAAGGAGCACATTCATCACAGATAACCTCAAGGGCTTGTTGTTGCCGCTGTGATTACGTGGCAAGCATAAAATGGGCCAATTTAGTTCATGAGGACCCTGCTTCCCCATCACTACCCCACTTAACCTGCCTGATTGTGTCGATTAATGATGAAAACTCTTAGCTTGCTGGATGGTTGGCAAGTTTGTTCTTGTCCTTATTGATTCTGGAGCGTTGGAGGAAGGACTTAAGAAGGTTGCTTCCTCAGATGTACCATTCAGTATGTGGCTTATTTTGACCACAGCTCAGGATCCACGCTTTGACAATGGTCTCTGCTATTATAAGAAATGCTCCATGCTTGATTGGATGGGTTTGAGAGTACCCACTTCAAGCAGTGCTCAAACGTGCTCGTTTCAATAAACAGTGATGTGAGTATGCCGGTGGAGTGTTTAAGTGAGATGAACATTGGTCACCCACCAGACAAGACATACCTAGTTATACACAAAATCATGAATACGTACTGACCTTGCTTATTCATTTAACTAATATATAATAATATATAATATCTGTGCTCTCTAGACGGAATCAAGCAAGTGTGATATGTAGAATTTCCTTGGTCCTGGTTTTCCGTTGAGGGTACCTGCTTTACTGTAGGTTTCATCATTTTGCTTATTAACAGTGCAAAGGGATGCTGTTTGCCTGGCTAAATATGTCCATGGATACTGAAATGATTAAAATGATCTAATGTCAATAGAAAAACAAATCTAGTACTTCTAATAGCTCCCTAGTGACTGATCCATGCCTCGCCTTGCTGGTGTCTGTTTGTTCCCGGCTTGCGGTGGTTACTAGCTATGTGGTGTAAAGTAGTCTCTGTGGTTTGTGTGTTCACATAAAAGTGTAATGGTTAAAATGAAAGTGCAGTTGTATGCTCTTAACAAGCAGCGTTTTCGGGAAATTTGATTATTTCAGCAAATATGTAAAATTAAATGCCGTTTAAAGTTTAATGATCTTCTGCGTTGTAAGAGCATCTCTATGGTATTTTGTGCAGTCAGTACCTCTGAATGTGTCCCACACCTTGGTTTATGAAGTAAGTTTTTTAATTCTACTTCAGGCCTGCACATCTCTGTTGCCAGGATGCACTAACAGACCCCAGAAGACCTTTAATATACCCCCTCCCTTATCTCTCCCTCTCTCTCTCACAGGATCCAAATCTTAGTCTTAGAGTCACAGTGGGTTACCAGGTGTTATGGGACATGACCTGCATTGCTCACTCTTTGCAACCTCACAGCCTCAAAGGATTACCAGGGGCTCATTCTTTTGCTGTCGCAGAGATGAGTCAGATTCTTTTAGTGTGCACAATAGCTCTTTCTCTTTGGCTTTAGGGGTAAAAGCTTTTGATGTGATACAATCTTGTTTTTTTGTACCATTTGCTGGAATTTCTCACAGCAAAAGGAGAAGAAGGTATAACAACAATTTGAAAAGTTTAAAACACATTACTGTCTAATATAAACACATTGCGCTACATAAAGCTTTTGCCACTCTTGGTGGCTCTGATTCTCCAAGCAGGTCTGACTCTGGAGCATGTACTGTATTAGCCTTGATGACTGCCCTGACATGGGCAGCTATATTTAGGAGCTGGAGTTAGCTTAAATGTTGTCCTTACCAACTGGACTCCAGTATAAGCATTGGTCCCCAAAGCAAAAGTCCCTAAAGTTTGTACAAGTCTGTTTTTCTGAGTCTCCGCTGGGAAACAAGGGCTGTCCCTAAATCCCAACTGGATTCACTGGTCTGCTAACAAGCTTTCAGAGCAGTCATAGGTCCCCGCTTATTAGGAACCATAAATGAATAAAAAAGAATAAAATAGCTGTATTTGTGTGACAGTTAATCTTCATAATATGTTAACTATATTTTTCATGAGTGCATTATCACCTGCAAATAAGATTATTTGTGTTTTCATTACCTCAGAATAACCCTTTTATATCTACTGACGTCAGAGGTTGCCTTCTGTGGAGGCTGTCATGTTGAACCAGCATGTTTTTACAGTTAGTCCAGAACTAACAAACCAAACACTGGCTCCAGATATGGGCTGCATTTGCCATGCATTTTGTAGCCACTGTAGTTCCTCCTTTGCACTTGGAAGGGGAGGGTATGCGATGTGTTGAAACTAACTAAATCCTACATACTTATCCTTCAGTAATCTTTGAGCAGCTGTATGCTTCACATACGCACCCTTTGACTCAGTTCACTCTTTTTCCTTTGTTTCCAGGCCAGACCGCTGCCACCAAATCGAATCATGGTGTCAGCTCGATTCCTAAAACCCATCAAGGAGCCATGTACAATATTGTAAGTTCAATATGAAATATTTTACACTGTTTTGACAGCTGCATGTTTTGTTTCTGCAAAAGCAAGATTCACTCATAAATATATATTTGTTTATCCCTTCATTTGAGTATAATATAACTCTCAACCCTGTGTATTTTCTTCACTTAGTGTGGTAGCAAATGGCGATGTCTTGAACCCCGCCATGAGGCTGCTAATCCAACAGAGGATGCTTGGCCAGTTTGACAAAATACTAGAGATGATCACGGAGAAGATGGGTTTGAAAGTCCTGGGGGGTGTTAGAAGGTAAAATTCACATATGGACTGTATTGTTTCCATACATTATGATATAATTTCTGTCTTGTTAACAAAATAATAATTAAGAGCTATACACAGAAGTTTCAGAGTTAAACCACATGTTCTTTCATTAGAGCAGATGATCTCATTAGATTTTCACAGCACCTAGCAGCATAAATTTGCATATAAATTAAAGAAAGATTTTCTTTAAACTGCTTTACATTACCAATGTTAACATGGGCATTTTGGAATATCTTAACTCTGGAGTTATATGAACAGGAATATTCACTATGTTGATACATAAAAACTGTATTTACTTGTATGTGCTTTATTAATGTTTCAACTATCTCAATAAATTACCACATGATGATTATGGGAGGGTATTGGGCAATTTAAGTGCATCTTGTTTTGACAAGCGGGTACAAACACATGATGGAAACTGTGGGACTTTTGACTTTGTGTCTGTTTTGTAGTTTGTACACCTATGAAGGCCACCAGGTAACTGATGGGAATCAGCTGGAAGGCGGTCAGCTTTATGTGGCTGTGGGAAGAGAAAGGTTTAAGAAGCTGCCCTATAGTGACCTACTCTTCACTAAACCCAGAGGGACAAGGAGGGTCAGTGGGTAAGCACTGCATATTGGAAATATACTGATACTAAATATGTTGTGAAGACAGATAACCTAATAGGAAAAGTTACTAATTAATTTAATCAGACACACATCTGTAATTTGATATCATATATGAATGTATTCAGAAAGTCATTATTTAAAAGAACATTGTTTATAGTAGTGTATATAACGTATAGTAGTTATATCACGGCAAGTGCAAAATAATTTATTTTCTTGCTTATCTATACTCATATCTGTCCTGCAGTACAGATAAGAAAAGCTTGAAAAACTGATACGTAAGTTTTAAATTTTGCATGTGAGTAGATCCTACATGAAACCAGCAGAGGTGCTTGTGCTTATTTCTCAATATATACTAACTAATCAATTAATTTATATTAAGCTATAAGTTATTCATTTTACAAGAACAACAACAACATTGACCAATGATACACATTATTAATATCCCTCAGTATGTAGATTCCCAAGTCCTTCATGAAAAGTTGTGGAAATTTTCAAATGGAATGCTATGGTGACCAGGGATGGTTCTTGGAGACCATTCAGTTTGTGTTTGTGTTCAAGTGTGGAAACTAATTACTCCTCCAGGGCTAATTCCTGCTTTCACATCTCCTGTAACCTACATCCCTTAGCACTAAATATTATTTTAAAGATGGATGATTTTCTGCATGTGAATAAAAGTGGTGCCTTTCCTACTGCCATGTTAAAATAATGTTCATGCTATTTGAATCAAAAAATCTAGAAGAAACGGTACTATTTACCATTTTACATGCACAAAGCTCTGTAGAGCTTTGTAAAAAATTTTACACATTATTTAACAGGCTTTTCCATACTATATTAATATAATAAATAAATAAATATCAAACAGTGTTTAAACCTCCAATTTTTCATTTTCAGGTGAACTTTCTATTGGGGTTTCCAAAATGACATGGCTTATTTCATTTCATGTGCCTGTGTTCGTGAACTAGTGTCATATGGCAATAACTTCATATAATGTATACTGGTTATAAAAAAATAAAATGATTTATGTCTGTTTCATTTACAGCATGAAAGCTTACTCTCTACCACCAATCTACAGATTCTCCAAGCAAAATGGAAATGTAAGAATTCTACTCGCCTTTTGCATAAATTACTTTTTACTATTACTATTATTTAGTTTTCTTTAAGTATCCCGGAATTGGAAATAATTCTACATATTTATAGCTTGCATTAGATAAACTAACTTTTATTTTAGAAATAGTTAGCCCTTTTTGAACATACACAAAATAAAACAGAAAGTTTTTGATTTTCTGTATCATTTGGTTACTTTGAGTGGCTGGGTAGATGGTTGAAAGATCTTGAGAACCTGTCAGTCTCAAGGATGTATTTGAAATTGTTGTTTTACTTAATAAGTTCACACAGTTCTCATTTCTCCATCCCTTACAATATTTGGTCTTAACTTAAAACTGCGCATTTACGTCTAAATGGGAGGTTGCAAACTTTAGATAAACAGTAGCAGACAGTTTAGAGACAAAATAATATGTACATTTTTGTATATTATTATTACATATTATGCTGTGCACTGTTGGTCATGTTTTCAACACATTTCTCATCAACTGAACTAGACTTCTATTTCTTCCAGAGTAAGTCTATAGTCAGAAGCAGTGATAGTGGTGATGGAGACTCCAAGGCCTCTCCTCCGGGCTACAATGGTAACAATAGTAAGGAGCACCTGTCCTCCATTGTCAGAGAGATCTCTCAGGCCAGACTCATCTCCCTCAGGAAGAAGAGAAGTGGACAAAGCATGACCCTCGGCGTGTCTGACTATGGTAATGCAAAAACAAACAGAATGGTATGCTCATTCCAAACAGGCCTGACAAATACAGTGTCGCTTTGGAGCTTAACAACACCATAATCAAAGTCAGAAGACATGAGAGATAGTACTAAAGCTGGTGTGTTTTCTAAATAAAAAAACATCAGTATTATTAGAACAATATATATCTATATATGTAAAATGGTACAAAATAACTAGTTATAGTGGATTTTTAAAATGGATGCAGTAAAAACAAGAAAAAAATAATTGTATCTATACTTTAATATACAATATAAGTTATAAGTTGGCCTACATGCTAAACATAAATTATTTGGATCCAAATAAAAAAACCTTGTTTCTTAGATTCAGACATTTAATGTGTTACATAAAAACTAATGCATTTTCATGCATTGTTTTATTCCTGTCTCATTGGTATGCCTTGATGGAATATTTTCAGGCCTCCTGGTTCTCTGGGGGATAATGCATTAATTGTGTGTTGTTCAGTTGAGTGTACAGTATGTGTGTCTGGCAGCACCCAGAGGCTACCAAAGTAAATAAGGGTTAAATATTACCACAGTTATAAGTAGCATTTTGTAGTCATCTAAACATTATTCTAAACATTGTTGTAATCATTCCAATCACCATTTTCTGTTAATATTTGTCTGAATGTGCTGTTGAAAGTGGGAAAGACTTTTAATTATCTGTGTGTGTTGCTCTTTATGAATCCACAATAATGTGAATATCTAAGTAGGTGTGTGCGTACATGTGTGGTTGCACATTCAATTCATTGTGTATTCAATTAGGAAGATGAGTGCGTGGCTCAAAAGATACTCCTTCTTAAGGACACCTCTCATACTGCAACTGCTTCCTGGCCTTTCAATGTCTGAATTACCATAACATGAGCTTCCATACCAGTTTGATTATACGATATACAGATATATGATGTAATGCATGGCCTTTGAAATCTTATGTAACCTGCTGTACCCTAATATGGCCACATAGTGGCACTGTTGCTCTGCAAAAAGATTCAGCAAGAAATATTGAAAGTAGGTCTAGTACGACAACTTTTACAAGAAACACATTACGTCATCTTCTGGGCTTATGATCAGTATATTATAATGTCCTGCAGAAACTCCGTATCTCCAGTTAGTCTTTACTTGTGTGCTCGTTGGCAGCTGGCATGCCTCTAAACATTAAGATGCTTTGTTGCTCTGGGACACTAACAGATGTTTTCCATTAACGGTATATACATTGAATATAACAATGAGAGAGTGAATTGAGAGCGTTTGATTTTCTGCAGACTGCTTATTGACCTTATTGTAACACCTACTGCGGTGTGAACCACATTACGTCATCTCATGGCTCATGATAGATGTTGCCCGTTTTCTCGTCTGGCAAGAGAGTTGACAGCAGTAGCCCAAAGGAGCGTGGAGAATTGTGCCTGTGGTTCAGGGAGCTGGCATTTTGCATCAAAAGAGAGGGATGAGGAATGTGTGTGCGGGTGTCTTTGTCTGTGTGTGCATTTGAAACCTGTAATGTCACCCTCAAAATCCTCTCTACAAGAGATCGCATGGCATGTCGCATTACAGGCAGAGAAAAACATGTTGCATTATTGGTCCCCTTGGGTGACATTGAGCAAAGATTGAATTAACAGACAGACAGCTCGGAAAACAAGATCAGGCATTAGACAAGATTGTTTGAATGAGAGAGCATATCACATTCTTATGCACCCTTCACTGTTTGACCTATGAGATATTTTTTTAAATGCTGTCGTGTTTAGAAGAATTAATGTTGTCCTCATGTATTTGGCTTCAAAGCTGGGTGTAGTGTGTGTAGTGCAGGCTGTCTCTGTCCATGGTGCTGAAGAGACTTGTTGGAAGATTCAGTTCTCACAGGTATCTTCACTCTTTCTGTTTCTCAAAAGATTCTGAAATCATAGCGGCCCATTGGCGTATGGAAAACAAATGAGCTCTGTACCCATTAACGGCTAAGTTTAGTCTTGTGGTCAGGTTATAGATCCTCAGTAGGAACAGTGTGCATCACCTTTGTTTAGTGATTCACAACAGCACCGAGGTGTTTTTGGTTTTATTTTACCTTTGGGAAATCCTGCCCTAGCTTGGTTATGAGGTAAACACATCCCATTCTGGTGCCAAAAGGAACACAGCCAAAAAAGTTGGCTGACTGGCAGAGGCTGTGGAAAGAACACAGCATGAAACTCACACTTCAGATCTCTGGTGTGCTGGAACATTGGAATGAAAACAAAAGATTATTATAAAGGTGTCATGTCATTATAAATGCATTTGTGATAGAGGGAGAAAGGGGCGGGTGGGGGGAAAGAGATGAGTGAGAGATGTAGACACTGAGACGGACGATGGATAGAGAGAGCGATAGATGAAAAAAGACAAATGAGACAGAGTGACCCGTAACTGGAGATTCTCCCTCTGTTCTGTGCTGACTCTGTTGTGACAGTCAGGGAGGTTAGTTTTTGTGTGTGTCTATGTGTGTGTGTCGGTACGCCAGTCCCCATTATTCACTGTCTATCAGCTGCTGGGAGCCAGACTGAGGATAACTCCAGCAGTTTCTGTCTGGTGTATTGTAAAGCTTCTGACTTTTCTGCTTCATTAGCGTGAACACTGTGGTGAGTGACAGCAAAGACAAGGGGGAGGCAGTGCGACAACTCATGCAGCAAAGGTCATGGAATGAATTTGAACTCACTATAACAAAGACATTTGGCTTAAAAGACTTAACCAACAAGACACATTGCCTGTCGTACGCTTCACCCAACATAGTTATACTTTATGGGAGCGCTTTTCAATTGGGTAAACATTATCTGGCCAGTGTTAGCTTTTGCTTTCAGAAACATGTTCAGATTGTGTATGACCAATATGCAGTTGTTGCTAACCTCAAAATAGAAATAGGATGTTTATCAGTGTTCCCTTTCGTAAAGGGCCTTTGTGACCAGTTCAGTTAATGGCTCTCTTGAGAAGGGAGGAGAGAAGAAATGTATAAAGAGAATCAGCAGGAATGGGAAAAGGGAGAAGAATAAAAGAGAAGAGGAAATAATGTGTTTTGAGAGGTGATGGGACATAGGATGTAAAGAGAAAGGAAGATAAAAGATTGAGATGATGAAGGGGGGAAAATGTTATGTCGAAGGAGAAGAGAAGGAGAAGAAAAAAAGAGTACAGGTGGAATCAAGTGGTGAATCTGATGAATAGCCTGAGATGATGGAGCATGAGCATTGGGTTGAATAAAGAGGCCGAGAGATAGTGAAGGGTAAAGGGGTGGGTGGGGTTTGGATAATTGCCTTTCATTTGGATAATCTCTCCATTTAGAGTCATCAAAGCAGAATCTTACTTGCCTCTGCCCCTTGCTGGGGCCAAATTGCTGCTCTGAAAATCAACAAAAGAGCCTTGTACTTCAAGAAGGAAGGCCAGCCAGAAAGGTATGGAGAGAGAGGAAAGGTGAAGGGAGAACAGAAGGGGAAGGAGAAGGGGGTCCGCTGACAGAGAGAGAAGTGCGTCTACTCATTATCTGAACTCTTACACGAGTTGCATATGCCTCTGTACATGCATTAATGAGGGGGGACACTATTGTGGGCTTTTTGATTTGATAAATGATGTGTGTGTGTCTTTGTCAGGTATATTCTGAACACGATTGGTATCTGTCAAAATAAGCAGATTGCCGCTTTAAATAATGGAGAGAATTACAGTATTGATAAATGACATATACTTTTGGAACAGGTAGGCATGTTGTAATTCATTTGTTTGAACTGAACGATTGCAGAGTCTCAATGTAACCAATGCAATCAAACAGAACATGATGTAGTGCCTATATTCATAGTTAGTTTTTAGTAATGGTTGCAGAGCCAGAATATTAACTCAATACTAGGGGCTGATGATACTGTAGATATGGTGATTGACTTATCTGATGATCCAAACAACCCACAAACATACTTTTACAGTCCATACAAGCTTATTCGTTGGAAGACAATCATAGGGCACAATATTTTAAGTGACTTGTGTACCATGTAAGCTATACAGTAGTACAACAAGTAGTTCAACAAATCCAAAAGCAGTTTCGGTTCATAGTAGATTTTACAACAAGCAAATTGATCAAACACATCCTGAGGTCTTCTTACCGTGTCCTTTTACACGAAAACACCTACAGAGCAATTTTGTATCCCGATTGTGCAGTCTCAATAGCTCAATATGGTTCATCTTGCCTTTTGCTTCAAATCTCTAAGTGTGGAGATGGTGAGTTTCAAAATAACGCAGGTACAGTAACACTAGGCAGCGCAAGCATTGAAACCTCAAGGACATCCACTTTGAACACAACCATATGTGCGTAAAGTGGATGCCTTGTGCCTGCTTCCTCCCTTTCATGTACTCCATCTTTTACATGTAGCAGGACCCAATTCAATTTACACTACATGATGGATCCACATTATGTCCATTCCTGTTATTTTCCTTGAAAGGAATTTGATTTGAAGTCAAAGAAGTTTTATTATGAGTTATTTTTCAGATAAAACGTATGTAAATCTAATGGAAACATTCTTGGTATTATTTGCAAGCTGAATGTGTGAGAAATGAGGACTGCTGTATGTGAGCGTGTGTCTGTCTGTTTATGCGTGCCTTAGCACATGCACAAGCCATCCAGCCAAATCAACCTTCTGCCTCTGGTGTCATAAAATGTGATGCTGCCTTGGGGAATTAGCCCTGTTAGCATATGTACGTATAATTCCTGTCAGAGTGAAACAGGGTTCAAAACAGCGTTGGGATGCAAGAGACATGCACACAAAGAGGTAGTATGTCTTAAACTGTGTGCCTATGTCAAAAAAAGAGCCTCAGCAGCTAAGGATGAGAGATGGCAACATTTAGAATTTTTTTAGAAGTCCTTAAAAAATGTGGTTTGTGAGCACTATGCTGAACAGTATTGATGTGTGTGTTACGTGCGTGCCTGTTTTTATGTGCGTCTATGCACGCGCTCGTATATGTCACATTACAGACAACGCGGCCA